ATTTGCTACGAAATTTTAGCAAAAGTAAAAACTTCCCTACTACATTTTTAAAAAAATCCCATCAAATATGCGGAAGATTTTTAGGTTGCAGCAAAAGATCACCGAAGCTGTTGATGAATGAATGATTCAAAAGAATTATGCTGATGAGTTCATTGGCTTTATAACATAAGCATCTATACTATAAAGTAAATAAAAATAAGGTAATTGTAGTAGTTGAATAAGAAGTGAAAGTTAATAATATATTTAAATAATATTTTTGAGCCAGGAAATTCTATTGACAGTTGCAGTTAAAATGAAATCGTTAAAAACAAATTCTAGTAAAATATAAGATTAGCTACTTTAGTTTATAATATTTATTCTATTAGGATGGAATCAAAAGAAGATCGTAGTAAATGTAGTTTATTTTTGAATTTAATTGAAATATTAGGATCTTAACATAAATTACAAGACAAAGAGGGCAAGTTCTCGAGATAATAAATATTTTGATATTTGAGTTGTAAGTTGTGAAGATAATAGGATTTGTAAATCTTAAGATGCATGAAGTAGACTTCGACTTAAGTCTATATTGTATATCGGAAACCTTTCTACAATATAAATATGCTATGCTTGGTATGCGTACGGTTTCCTTACTGAAAAAGGAGCTGAAACATGTGTTTATAGGTCGGGTATTAAATATTCGTTAGCAGAAATGTATGCGATAAACACACATATCTATATATATATAAAGTGTGATATAAAGTGTATATATGAAAGGTTAATATGTTTTTAATTTAACCTAGAATGTAACTATCAGAACCAGAAATAACAATTTTAATAGATATCCGGACAACAATAAAGGTTTTCAATGCTCATCATATGATATCAAGACGGATGATGGAGTGTCTTGAAAAGCTAAACACCGTTGGTCAAAACGAAATGAATACCTATACAATACTATGAATACTAAACTCAAAAATATTAATTGGGTTCCAGTTTGCGCTGGAAGTTGCGGCAACAAAATTGCAGACAAACTATCTATTAAAGGAGCAGCTTTGTTGCTTGTAGGTCCGGAGTAATTCTGTAATTTCTTTTTACCGATTCGGAAAGTAGAGAAGAAGCAGAGCGCTATACTGAGGTGATCTACATATGTTATTACAATCCAAATCACTTGTAAAGATTTTAAACCTAAAACGATTGAAAGATTGTACGCAATTTTCTTAGTAGTAAGAATCATTACAGAAATTCTAAAAAGCACTGTTGTTTAAACTGCCACCTTACAAAACTGGAAACCTACTTTGAAAAAGTTCATAGATTTTGTAGATATAAAAAGAGCTCTTAAAACAGATACTGGAAGTGTGCCCGGCACAAATCTTAAAGAAAGTTAAAATAGTACAATGGTGGGTATCTCATATCGGATTAAAAAATTAAACTCTACAGTGTCGGTTGCATACAACAATTTATAGAGGAAATTGGGCTTAAAGAAATACTCTAAAGCGTCGCAGTAAAAATACCACAATAAAATAATAATTGTTATAATAATATTAATACTATTGTATATACTGCGTTAATAGTAGGTCTAAATCTAATTGAACCTGTAATTCTTAAGCAGGCTGTTGTTTGCAGCTAACTCACTGGTAAATCATAGAAGGTCCCAATGCTAGTTATATGACTTATGCTCCAATATGATTCAGTTTCACCTAAACTTGAAAAATCTCCTAAGAAAAAATAACGTGAGATAAATCAAAGTAAGAAAATTGCTTATGTTACATCTTAAATTTTTGAGATCAAAAAACCTTTCTAGAATCAAAAACTCCGTATTTGTATAGTTTACTTAAAATGCTTTTAAAAATATTTAATTTATAAAAATATATATATATTTTTATCTAATCATAAAAATTAAAATAACAGAATAAAAGGAGATTTTGAACCATTCAACAATATTATATTTCTTTAAGGTAATGCAGCTAATATATAAAATATCTTGTTATTAATTTCTACTTGATTCGTATGGTTGAAAAAATATTATTAAGAATCTGAATTTTTTAAAGAGTTGCCAAGATAAATAAATGTGACAATTTCAACTTTTAAGATTCATTTGTTATCTCTTCAACTCTGCCGAAAAGGTGTACCAGGCACAGTCTTGAGCGTAGGGAATAGTCAGAATTCACATGTTATTAAATTAGACGAATATGGGGCTTGTGGTTCGATAAGTTTTGAACATTTATGGCATATAATGTTACTACTGTCACTATCACATATGTCTTCGTGCTAAGAAAGTTTTCCTTATAAATGAATATATCCTTAATGTTGTTTTAATTTAAACTTTAGATATTGAAACCTATTTTTAGATTTATAAAAATTAGCTTTATTGTTTTAATTAAATAATTTTAGTTGCCAAAATAAATAAATTATTACTTAAACTTAAAATAATTTTCTTAAAATAAAATCTTAAATTATTTTGTATCCTTTATCCTTTCAAAGTTGCTGCCACATTTGCTGCCTGTTGAGCAACTCCAATCGTTTGAATTGTGGCATCTCTGGTATGTTGACCAACTCTTTCCTGTAATTAAGAAAATTTTTGTTAATTTTCACTTAAGTAATGAGAAGTTTTATTCAATATATATTAAAATAACTTACAATTTTCTTGCCAATTTTTTTTAGCCAACCCGCTTCAGCTCCCATACTGAAAGCGAATACGACGAGAGCGACGAATAAGAATATTTTATTGAAATTCATGTTTAATTTTTAATTTCTTAATAATTTGTTTATGCGCTAATAAACTGTGTTGTAGACTGATAACAGATTCGAAACAACTGCAGCTTTTATATGAAATATTTTAATGCTCAAAAAGATAAGACAAAAGACATCTCACTAGTAAAAGGGGATTTTTGTTTAAATTTGCAATGAAAGATTAATAATTAAAAGAGTTTCCTACAAAAATTGGAAAAAAAGTCCCCATTTGTGCTCGTAAAATTTTTGGTTTCAGTGTGATCCAAGTAAGGCAAATGATTAATGATTTGGAAAAAATTTATGTATTACCGTATTGACTTAAAAAATGGTTTTTAATAAGAAACAAATATGAAAAGTGAAGCACGGAAGCAAAGGTAAAGGATCTTTACTTTTTAACTGATTATTCATAAAAATAAAATGTGTTTAATTATTATTCTTCACTTCCGTTTTTTACTGATGGGGATTTTGAAATGTAGAATAACCATGAGAAATTTGATGTCATAGATGACTTGGTGGAAAACAGTGCTACGCGAGTTTAATAATGTCAATTATTATTGGAACGATGTGGTAACCTTTTTCCATAATAAGGTTTGATTTCAAATTGATAACAGAGACATTATGCTTCCCCTAGGAGAAAGTGATTAGAAAGATACATTAATGCGTTTGATGGTTTCAGATACTGCCAAGCTTAGTATTTAATAATAATTGTTTTAATATATTTAGGCAAGTGTGTGTTAAGGCTTAAACTTCTTTTTTTGCATACTAAATTAAATAACTTTTAAAAGTCTTCTTTAGAGAATACAACTTAAAATAAACTCGCAATTATTCTGAATCTTAATTGTATTACTTTTACTATAATTTATAAAACAGTTTAATTCCAGAATTAATAATACTTTTTATACTTATCAAATCATGATTCCAAATTGTGTGTTAAAAGTGCCATAAGCAGAATTAAGAAATATTAAAATACCAAAATTCAATACTCCTAAAATTAGAATAGCATATTTTTAAAGTTTATATAATGATTTAATTCTTAAAAACAGTAAGTAGATAAGCCTACCATTAAAAAAACACTCATTATCGAATGGCTTCATAAATTTCAAAAGAAAAGCATATACTCATGCCTTGATGAAAGTAGAGACGGCCTGCTAAATTTTAGAAGAGTACATAAGCATAGGTTAATTTTAAGAGGTGTTGAAATTGCTTTATATTTTGACATTGCTGGAATGCGTTATAAACGTTGACTTCGCCCATTAATCACGTTTATGACTGAAACATCGAAGATAACTTGTCTCTAGCCAAAATCTATGCAAGTAGCACAGTAACTAGTTACATTGTGGAACACCCAACTCATTATTTTTACCGAAAGCCCATTCAACCGACCTAAGCCTGCCTTACAAGCATAGTACAATTTAAATTGGCTGTGTATATTGAAAGAAAGAAGTCATAACTATCCAAAGTAATAGTTTGGCCATCCATACCAGACAATTGCTTACATTTTACATGACTATCTTTTAAAGAAAAAGCAAAGACCAATACAATGATTCTTGATATGATATCTTAGTTAAATATATTAGATAATTAAATATTTGTTCATTGTAGGATTGTATTAATAATTAAAATATTAAAGACCTTTAAAAGTTAATTTAATTGCTCTAGCTTATTTGTATAATAACCTATTTTTTTCAAAGCATAAAAATCTTTTATTTCCAAAGTTAAAACTATTAAAAAATTCTTTCTAAAGTTTAGAACTAAAAAAACTAAACCAGAATTTATTATAATTTAATACACTAAGAGAAGAGAAATTAAATAAGGTATATCCATCCGCACATTAACATCCTAATTTTGCTTTCGTATAAATTTTTAATTTTTGTTTGAATAATTTTTTACTCAAAAATTTAACAATAGTAACAAAATAATAGATGCCTCCGTTAGAATAATTAATGTTTAAATGCTTGAAAAGAACGATCTGATTTCCTTCAAAAAATGTCCTTAATAAAAGAAATTCTTCACTCTGCAAACTTGTTTTTTTGAGTGCTGCGTATTGTGTTTAAGGTTTTCTATTTAATATGAAGACATCATAGGTATACATTACGCCGGCTTAGAATTTAGAACTATAAAAACCAATATAAGACAGTTTAGTCTCGCAAAGAAAGTGCTCCTATTAATTTATGATTAACATTTACCATTGGATCAAATAAAAATCGAATAACAAAACACATATTTGCTTATAATTATTATTATAATTATTATTTATTATTTTAATTCAATAAACTTAGTTGCCAAAAATAAATAAATAAATAATTATTAAAACTTAAAAAAATTTTCTTAAATTAAAATTTTAAGTTATTTTCTATCCTTTATCCTTTCAAAGTCGCTGCAACATTTGCTGCCTGTTGAGCAACTCCAATCGTTTGAATTGTGGCATCTCTGGTATGTTGACCAACTCTTTCCTGTAATTAATAAAAATTTTGTTAATTTTCACTTAAGTAATATGAGAAGTTTTACTTAATATATATACAAATAACTAAAATACTTACAATTTTCTTGCCAATTTTTTTAAGCCATCCCGCTTCAGCTCCCATACTGAAAGCGAATACGACGAGAGCGACGAATAAGAATATTTTATTGAAATTCATGTTTAATTTTTAATTTCTTAATAATTTGTTTATGCGCTAATAAACTGTGTTGTAGACTGATAACAGATTCGAAACAACTGCAGCTTTTATATGAAATATATTGCTACTCGAAGAGATAAGACAAAAGACATCTCAATAGTAAAAGGGGATTTTTTATGTATTCACAATGAAAGTTCAGTAACATATAAGAGTTTTCTATAATAATTGAATAAAAATCCCCTTTTCTGCATCAAATTAAATTGATTTCCAGTGATGATGGGTAGTTTACATAAATGCTGCAGATTGCTTAGTCGCCGAAAGAAGTCTATATATAAAACCAAATACATATGTATGTAGATATAAATTTTTATGACATTTGAAAAAGATGCCTTTTAAATAAAGGCAGAAGCATCCTTTTAACTAAAAATTATTATTTCAGATCTACATCTTTCGGCCTTTGGGTACATATTATATAGTACATACATATTAAATTTATTTAAACAATAAGTTCCAAAAATTTTTACTCGTAATACTAGTAAAAAAAAAACAAAAAAAAAGACATGAAAGTTATCTTTTCAAACAAAAAGAACATTGCCTGATATCATAAGCGACGAATAGGCTAGCCCAGTTTCAAATATCAAATATGTTTTATCTAAATATGAATTTCATTTCGATTTTTGCAATTAAGTTCAGTTTTTTATTTGTAGTATATATGTTATAGTTAACACTATTCGTATTATTTTAAACGACGTGTAATAAAGATTTTCTTCATGTAAAAGGAAATCGTTCCGAAAAGAACAATCATTAAGAAGACTATAATAAGCTCAATTGAATAATTGTTTTGCAATGCCATCGTGATCTATTAAGATACTGAATTCAAATCCAAACTTTGTATATAGAAATAGTACATATTATATAGATATTCTTTATATAGAAATATAATGTTTCAAATTTTATAAGAAAGTTAAAAAAATTGTTTATAAATTAATTAAAATTTTTAAAGTTTTACAAGATATGTAGTGATAAAAGGAAAGTTGTTTAGTTTACTGTTTGGTATATATTTTTAGATATTTTTAAAATATATTTCAAAATGTTTTTCAAAATATATTTTAAATATATAATTTAAAATAGTTTGTATTAAAAATAAACATTTCTGGTATTAATTAGTTCTATTTTGATGTAATATAAGAATTCGGTGCTAAAACTCATGCAGAAAAATAGTTTACTTTCTTAAAAGCTTAGCGGTAATGTCTTAACTACAAGATTTGGCAAGAAATAATCTTATAATCGAATTTTATCTTATGTCCAATGTAGAGATAGTTCAGAATTTTTGATACTGAACAAATTCTTATTACTGTAGTATTATGTGACAATCTCAGTCATGGGGCAATTCAGCTTTCCACTATCATATATTCTGATATAGCTTACTTTTCGAGATATTAAGGTGCAAAGATTTATTCTAATTTTGATTACACTTACCTATAATAACTATATCTGTCATCTTATGTTAAATAGTTATATTGCACTTTTTATATTGATCATACAAAGAACAGGTATGTCTATGTTCAAATTTTCAGCTGTAAAGTCAGATATCTTGAAAACTAAACTATACTTACATATTGTATACCATAGTAAAAAAAGAGTCTGAGGTTCTAAATAGCAATATATATTAAAATCTATTGTCAATTAAGTTTGACCAGAGAATTGAAAAAGTGTTGAAACCCTTGTTGACGATCTTATGTGATCGCTGAAGAATACTACTAAAAAGTGATGAATAACATTTTTTATTTCGAAGAAATTATTTTATAACTTCAAATGAAGTTGTTTCAAATGAACGTTCAAGTTTTAGTAAAAACGGTTTTCTGTCCCAATATCAATTCTAATATAGTTTAATTTAAATATACTCTAAGTACACAGAAGAAGATATATTGCGGTTAATATATCAGGCATCTTGCGTATAGTTCGGGTATTCATTCCACAATATTAAATGGCCTATATAATTATTTGATTTTTTTTTGATAATTCAAAAAAATATTAACCCGTTTTTAGCAGTGAACAGCAAACTTTTTAGATTTTCTTTAATCTTCATTATAGAAGTAAGAGATATAGAATGCAATTATGTATACCGTGTAAAATAATGATATAGGTAAGTGGAACTAGTTCGTCTTACACATTTAATACGTAGATTTGTAGCGATACTAGATAAGAGTATCGAAAATTGATAACAATTGCTTAATATTTTTGAAAAATCATCTGTGAACAGAAAGTTTATTTAAGAATGAATATTAAATAGAAAATATATAATTAATTTTTAAATAATATTACTCTCACTAGTATAAGTTAAAAGATTTTGGATTTTGATTTAATGAAACATATATTTATTTTGTTATAACTTTGTATTTTACTTTATTTTTATTTGTTTAACTTAATAGTTAGGCATAAATAAATAAATAATTATTAAAACTAAATTTGTTCTTAAGTCAATATTTTTAATTATCCTTTATCCTTTTAAAGTCGCCGCTACATTTGCTGCCTGTTGAGCAACACCAATCGCTTGAATTGTGGCGTCTCTGGTATGTTGACCAACTCTTTCCTGCAATTAAAAGATTTTGGATTATAATAAGAATTTATAAATAAACATTTTAAAAATTCAAAAAATTACTTATTAATGATATTTAAAAATATTTACACTTACAATTTTTTTGCCAATTTTTTTAAGCCAACCCGCTTCAGCTCCCATACTGAAAGCGAATACGACGAGAGCAACGAATAAGAATATTTTATTGAAATTCATTGTTGATTAATTATTTGTTTATAATTTTTTGATTTAATTATTTGCTTATACGCTTGTAGAGTATATTTTAAACTGATAACATTTTTAAATTCGTTGGAGCTTTTATATGAACACTTTCCATGATGCAAAAGATAACAGATTACTCAAATGTGTAAGGGGAATTTTTTGAAATAGTTCGGATGGTGATGAACAACGCTCAGGAGTTTTCTTTGCTATAATTTTTTAAAAATCCCACTGCATCAACGGAACTCTTTTGATTCCGTCATAAAATTGTTGATGCTGATAATGAATCACAAAAATTGATTCGTATGTTGCCATAAACGCACAAAAATGAATGTATAAAAAAAAATGTAAATAAATTTTTATGAATATGAGGTTATTGGGGTATGGACATTTTATTGTTAAAAATTTTTTAATAATCATATATGTACTTCCGTGGTATCACAACGTCACATTATTGTGCTTAAGAGAGTTCTGGTGTATAACG